TCCCTGGCCCCCCAGTGGCCGGGGCCAGGTACCGAGTCGGCGTCCATTCCAAGGTTCGCTCCCCTTCGCCCTCCCCCTCTCCCTCCCTCGGCCCCTCCCTCCCTCCCTGCTGCCCGCGAACCCGGAAGGCGGACACGTCTAGCTCGAGTCGCCGCGAGCGCCCTTGGCCCGCGTGCCTGGCCTGGACGTGCACCCTCAAGTCCAAGGCGTGCGCGAAGACGACGAAACGCTCCGAGAGGCAGACAGGGTCTTCACAGAGGTGGTGCTCCTGCCGAAAGTGCCGCTCTAGGGCCGGGTAGTCTCGGTGGTACCGGTGAGAGGGTGGGAGGCCCTCTTGCTGGCGCAGGCGCTCGCAGACGTCGCAGGAGTAGTGGGCGGAACGGAGGTGGTGGAAGAGGGCAGTCAGGTCGTAGAAAGGCTTGTTGCGGCAGAATTTGCAGCGAGGGTGGCCCGAGAAGCCTGCGTCGGCCTCCCCGTGCTCCATGTGCCCGGCCAGCGCCTTCTTGGCGTAGCGGGTCTGCTCGCCCACGAACACTTTCTTGTGGCTTAGGCACACCTCACAAAGGTACTGGGCGTGCGCCAGCTGCAAATGCGCCCTCAGCTCCCGGAGGTCCTTGCCCTCGTACCGGCAGGCGTTGCTCTCGGCCGGAGAGCAACGGAAGCCCTGCATGGGGGCGAAGACGTCCCGGTGGAAGGCCCGGGGCATGAACATGCTCGCGCGCTCGTCGTAGACGTAGCCAGGCCCTGCCTCCGTGCCCCATATATTCAGGGAGGCGAAAGGCTGCATGGTCGTCGCGTCGCCGTTGAAGACATAGACATGCTCGAGCGAGGCCTTGCAGAGCGGGCAGGCCCTGTCCTCCATGAGCAGGCGGAGGCGCATGAAGCAGAGGGCGCAGATGCCTCCGTGGTCGCATGCCCCCACGGCAGGCCGGTGCTTGCCGCTGTCAAACGTCTCTGCGCAAATGACGCAGCTCGCCACCAAGCCCTCTCCTCCGCGCTCCCTGGCCCCCCCGACTCTTTCCCTGCCGCATGGAGACACCCCCCTTGTCCGCTCATCGCCTGCCTGCTCGGACGGGCAATCAGGAGGCCTGCTCTCCCGGAACCCATCCTGTACTTCTTCTGCTTGTCTCTCCTTCTGCCCTCCTTGGTCATGCGCCTCTCGGCGGCCTCGCTCGCTTCCTCTCCCTCCTCCCCGTCGTGACCCGTCCCTCCCTCCTCTCCCTCCTCTCCCTCCTCTTCTTCTCCCACGCGGTCGGCGGCCGCCAGTTTCTTCCTCTTGACCGTCCCGCCCGCAGAAATTGCCGCCCACGGTATCACAAACTCGTCGTCTGCATCCTCGTGTGTTCGCGATGAAGGGGGAGGATGGCGCTGGAATAACAGCAGAGGTGGCACTTCCTGCTGCCCCTGATTGAGCGGATGCCATTCCTTCCAGTTGCTTGCAACGATCAGCACACTTAGACCAACCCCGATTGCCTGTAAAGAGAAAGTTAAATTGAGAGGTAATAATTCAGAGAATGTTTGAATGATATGCCCGTAGCAAGGCGCAAAAGACGATCGCAGGTGGTACTTCCCTCCTACTCGTAGTACGAGTCAACCTCCCCTTCAGACGCAAGTTGCCTGGCTGCCTCGTATTGGAAGGGCGGGCCCTTACGGTCACAGATTGCTGCAACCCACGTTCAGTCGTGTTTCGTGACCATAAAAACTCATACAGGGTCGCACTTTCATGGTGTCCTCGAATTATTGCCGGGTTTGCGCTTGCCGGCAAGCTTTTCCCTGGTTTTGCAGCTTGTCCGTTTCACGGAGCATCACCACAGAGGCTGCGGTCCGTCCCTCCCGAAAGCATCGAGCTACACCCCCAAGTACGCCCGAAGAAAAAGTCGCCAAGGATACCAGAAGAAGGCGGGAGCGATCAGACAGCGTGTCGGACAGCATGCTCGAGGACCGGCGCCGGCACCTTGCACGAATAGCCGCATTGGCCCGAGAGGACGAGGCGGAGGGCCCTGACCCGGAGATTTTGAGGCGCATTAATGAGCTGGGCTTGGGGCAAAAGCAGCGAGGGAAAGACACAGCTCGGTATCGGCGCGGGCCTAAGGACATGACAGCGGGCCCATCGCAGATAGGAGCTACGGGCTTTGCGACCTTCATGGCAGCAGCGAGTGGGAGGGGTTCGGAGGGGTGGCCCTTCTTTAAACATATGCTGCCCGAGGTGGCGTTTGCAGGGCATTCCAACTGTGGGAAGTCCAGTCTGGTGAACGCCGTGGCCGGCATGGTTCCTCGTCGTGGCGTGGCGCGGGTCTCAGACCGCGCGGGCTGGACGGACGCAGTCTTCTTCTACCAGCTAGGAAGGAAGCCCCCCGTGCTCACGCTGGCCGACTTGCCGGGCTACGGCCACGCCGTGGCCTCGGTACAGCAAAAACGGCGGTGGCGGGAGATGACCCAGAGCTACCTGGCGACGCGGCGGGTGCTGAGCGTGTGCTGCGTCCTGGTAGACTGTGTGCGGGGGCTGTGCCGGGAGGACGGAGACCTCCTGAAAGCCCTACGCGCACGAGACGTGGCTGTAAAGGTGGTTCTCACCAAGGGAGACCTCCTGGACGAGTTGGACCTGGCGCGGAGCCACTCGCTAGTCGTGCGGGACATGCGAGAGATGGGGCTACTGGGGCGGGGTGGGAGGGGAGGGAGGAGGGAGTGGGGAGGGGGGGGGGGGGAGGAGTGTCTTGGTCGTGAGCGCCAGCACGGGGGCCGGTGTCTCGGCGTTGTGGAAGGCATTAGTGGATTGGACGAGAAAGGACGTAGTATACAGGGGCGAGGTGGGCGTGCACGCGGCCTCGCTGCGGTGAGGGGGAGAGGTTGGGACCCGGGCAGGGGCACAGGGAGGGGCCACGCAGGAATACGTGGGTGAAGGGGGCTGAAAGGAGAGGAATGGGGCGAGAGTGACAATAAAGAGACCCTGCCTTTGCAGCACTGTGGCCGAATCTCTTGTCATGTGACGTCTGGTTAGTGTTCTGTTTCTTCCAAGACCCTCGCAGGAGCGCCACTCCTCCCTTCCTCTACCCCTGTCCGTCTCTCCCTCTCGTCACCGCTCTGCCCCCCTCCCCTTACTCCTAATTCTGTACATCCGAGCGCCTTGGCACCGCCCTCAGCCGCCCAGCCCCCTTTCCCTCACCGGCGACGCCTAATTGGTGCTCTTGAGCTTCAAGACAGCCTGAAAGGCCTCCTGAGGCACTGAGACCTTCCCCATGGTCTTCATCCGCTTCTTCCCCTTCGCCTGCTTCTGCAGCAACTTCTTCTTCCTGCTCACGTCGCCCCCGTAGCACTTGGCCAGAACGTCCTTTCGCATGGCGGAGAGGGCGCAGGAGGCGACCACTTTCCCGCCAATGCAGGCCTGGATCGGCACCTTAAACATTTGGCGGGGAATCAGCTCCTTGAGCTTCTCTGTGAGGGCCTTCCCCACCGCGTAGGACTTGTCACGGTGGACGATGCAGGCGAGGGGGGTCGCCTCCTCGTCGTTGATCCTCACGTCCAGGCGCACCAGGTCGTTCTCGCGGTAGCCGACCAGGCTGTACTCCATGGAGGCATAGCCCTTGCTGCGGCTCTTAAGCTCGTCGAAGAAGTCCGTTATCACCTCCGCGAGGGGCATGTCGTATATGAGCGCCGTCCGCGTGGGGGTCAGGTACTTCATCTCCTTCAGCTCCCCCCGCTTGTCCTGCGCCAGCTCCATCAGGCTGCCCGTGTAGTCCGTGGGCGCCAGCATCTCCACGCGCACGTACGGCTCGTAGATGGCCTTGCGCTCGGTGGCGGGGGGCAGCTTGGCGGGCGTGTCGATGGAGATCTCCTCGTCCCTGTTGGTCAGGACTTTGTAGACGACCGAGGGCGCCGTCACAATCAAGTCCAGGTTGTATTCCCGCTCCAGACGCTCCTGCACGATGTCCATGTGCAGCAAGCCCAGAAAGCCTACCCGGAACCCGAAGCCCATGGCCGAGTTCTTCTCCGGCTCAAAGGAGATGGCCGCGTCGCTCAGCTTCAGCTTCCCCAAGCTCTCCCGCAGCACCTCAAACTGGTCTGCGTCCACGGGGAAGAGCCCCGCGAACACGGTGGGGTTGGCCTCGGCGTAGCCCGGCAAGGCGTCGGAGGCCCCTCCCCGGGCGCTCGTGATGGTGTCACCCACCCGCGCGTCCTCCACCGCCTTGATGGCCGCGGAGAGGTAGCCCACCTCCCCCGCCCGCAGCACCTCCACCGCCCGCTTCTCCGGCGTCATGAAACCCACCTCCACCACCTCATACTCCTTCCCGCTCGCCATGAACTTGACCCGGTCCTTGGGCCGAATCTCCCCGTCGACTACCCGGAAGTAGACCACCACCCCGCGGTAGGGGCAGTAGTAGCTGTCGAAGATGAGCGCCTTGAGCGGCCCCCCCGTGGGCGGCGCGGGAGGGGGTACGCGAGCCACGATTTGCTCCAATATGTCGTCGATCCCGATGCCGCTCTTGGCCGAGGCCCTCACCGCCTCCGTGCAGTCCAGGCCCACCGTCTGCTCGATCTCCTCCTGCACCCGGTCCGGGTCCGCGGCCGGCAGGTCGATCTTGTTCAGGACGGGGATGATCTCCAGGTCGTTCTCGAGCGCCAGGTAGACGTTCGCCAGGGTCTGGGCCTCCACGCCCTGGGAGGCGTCCACCACCAGCAGGGCGCCCTCGCAGGCGGCCAGGGAGCGCGAGACCTCGTAGGAGAAGTCCACGTGGCCCGGGGTGTCGATCAGGTTCAAAATGTAGTCCTCTCCGTCCTTGGCCCGGTAGAGCATCCGCGCCGCGTTCAGCTTGATGGTGATTCCCCGCTCCCGCTCGATGTCCATGCTGTCCAGAAGCTGGGCCTTCATGTCCCGCGTCGCCACCGTCTTGGTCGACTCCAGAAGCCGATCGGCCAGCGTGCTCTTGCCGTGATCGATGTGTGCGATGATGCTGAAGTTGCGGACTCGCTTCACGTCGTACTTCCCCAGCTCCGCCGCCGTGGCCATGGCGGTTGGCTTGTTCTTGTCATCCTTCCTCTCGCGATCCCCCGACTCTTTGTCCTTGGCAACTTTCGCCGCCACCTTAGCGCCTTCAGTAGTGGCTTGAAGGCGTGACAAGGCGCTTTGGTGAGGTGGGGCGCGGGAGCAGCGACGCCACGACGCCCTCGCGGCGTCTCTTCTGCTTGTACTTGGGCTAGTGGAGAGGGGAAAGATGAAAGAAACGGCATGCTCAGCTGCAAGGAGCATCAGCAGGAGTAGGAAAAACACCCTCCGTAGGTTTTTCATAGTTTTTCCGATGACTTGTGAGCGCGATGGCTCCAGAGGCTGGGGATTTGCGCGGCAGTGGTGCCGTAGCGTCAGGGGAGACAGGGATGATACCGCCACACCGCCCAGAGCCGCTCCTTGCTGAGAATGTCGAGATTGGCCTCCGTTGTCTGCGAGCTCTGAATGGACGCAGTGAATCCCGAAGCCTGTGTCGATTGTATGCATGGCAGGTTATTGCGGTGGGAAAATGCGGGTGACAGGCGGGCACGACGTCCTCTAAAGGGCTGATTCCGAGATAGCACGGGCCGCGGCCACCGATCTTCCCACGTCGCCCAGTCTACGTTTGCTTCAGGATCGAACATTGACCGCATTTTCCCGCCCACACACATCAATAGGGACTGCACGA